TTATTAAAATTAATTTCCAAGATTTTACCATTGTAATGGGGGCGGGGGTGGAGGGAAATGAGAGGAAAAGCTAAATGGCAATAAAAAGAAAGAGCGACACTATATCCATACAAGCCTCATGGTTGTGCAGTTTTCAAGCTCAGAATTATCAAAGAATATGTTGAAAATATGATATAGTTTTTGGAACTACAAAGATATTCAGCCTAAACACAGCTGACAGTATTGGGGTAGTTCGAGGTAGCTGCTTTGAACATAATTTAAAAAATCCCTAATCACTGTATTTTGCTTGTCCCTGCTTTTATATAGGAAGTCAGACTGGTACGGGCTTCATCAAAACAAAACTGTCACTAATTTTGTTTGGGATATTTTTTAAATAAGGCCTGCGTGATCCAGGCATAAATCCAGAAATACAACATTGGTTTATTTTCTAAAATTCAATTAGTACCTTAGTGGTTAGCTACAGCTTAATAGTGGCCAAAACTGTCAGAAAAGTCTTGGGTGACATCTATGCTACATTGAAAGGTAACAGCTCCAGAGACACATTCAAATTTATACTAGCTGAGAATCTGTTTTCTTTCTTGAAGTGAGTACATTGTTTCTCTCATGGAAAGTCTTTTTTTAATGCATTACATTCAGTTAAGTGCATTTCAAATGCATCTTCCCAAGGAAAAGCAACTCTAAATAAATCACTTCTGATTTTTTGGACAGCATATGCTGCAGCAATGATTGAAAGTGTTTGCACAGAACGAGGGCAGAAAAAGAATGACTTTGCTGGGAAAATGTAAACAGTATAAACAAGCATGGGAGACTAAGACAGATATGCATGAGAGAACTGTGAAAACAAAACTTTGAAAATGTGAAAGTTTAGCCTTTCAGCTTTGGCTAGTTTCTAAAATAGGACAAAAAGTATTGATGAAAACAAATTCTCTAATGGATACAAATTTAATAAGAACATGATCTATTGTACTGCACTGGCCGTGGATTTCTCCATTAAGATAACAGGTAAGCAACAGGCTAATTTCTGCTGCTCTTTGTGCAAGCATATTACACTGAAAAAGTCAGAATTGCCAATGTGAGTACAAACAAGAAAAAAAATGGGTTGTGAACATCCATTGAAAGCCTTCTCCTTTTTCTTTTAAATATTAAAAGGAAACAATGTTCAAATGTATTAAATTTAAAATATTAACAGTCATGACTTAGGGTTTTTTCAACAAAGGATGAGGTTTAAGACTAATTTACTTTGAAAGTCTCTTTAAAAATGATTGTGTTGTCTCTTTAGTTGAAACATTTGAAATAATAAAAGTCAGTATAATACAGACTCACCTATATTGTATGTCTTTACATAGAAATAATATATTATATATATTATTGTATGTCTAATACACATAAACACATATACAAACACCCTTCTAGATTTATTTTACTGCTTAAAAGTTATTTGCTTGTTAACTCACATCTGGTTTGCTAATATAAGTATTCATTCCTTCCTTGACACTGTGGTATCAAGGATATAGTTAATTCCAGAGCTCTAATGATTTGCTACACCAAAATATTTCCCAGTAACAGAACAACTACATGAACAACTAAGAGACTGTCTACAATTAGCGTAAAGCTTAACCAATGAAACTACTAAATCTAAAACCCAATGACATAGCTACGCGTGCTTTTTGAACAGAGGTGGCTGTAACACTAAGGTAATGCCAATATAGTGTATCTGCTCTATAGGAATGACAGCTCATCAGAAGCAAAGAAGGAATTTTGCTAGCAGATCAACAACACTGTAAACACATTGGGAACAGATGGGAAAAACTTCTTGAAGAGAACTTCTATTTTGTTTTCCTAACAGTAGATTTAGACTTCTCACTGGAGAAATTAGTTCAACTGCTTTCATAAATAGCTTATGTTCAGTGTTTACTACAGAAGAGCCTAGGTGTATACTTTTTAAATATTACTGTGTACATGTTATATTAAAAACATATTGATAACAATAGTTTCTTCCAAATGACTGTGGACTGGTCTGAATCTTTCATCTCTATGATCTCATGGGCTCTTGTGGGCCCAATCCTACCCAGCTTTTGCGCATGCTAGGGACCTTATTGGAAGCAGCTGATTAACTTGAATGCACAGAATATTGACTTAAGTTAGTAATTATATTGGTAGCAAAAGAAATGTATTATTGTGCTTTCTTCCCTCAGTTTTGTTCTTAATTGTATTCTAGTCTCAATCTGGACTGTAATACCCAGACAGCCCACAGAACAATACCGCATTCCCAGAGTAGGCCAGGTAAGACATGAGTCACCAACAACGAGACATGCAGATTTGTGTTTTTCAACTTGAATTCAATTTTTAAAAAATTAGAAGTTATCAAAAACCAGCTGCCAACAGCCTGCAGAACGTAGGTGACTGGATGGGTGATGTATGTCTAATGCCTTCAACAGAAAAATGCTCCCATTTAGGAATATCCTGCCCTTTGACAGTCAGTGGAAAAATTCCCACTGACTCTCAGTGGAACAGGATTTCAACAGTTGTGTTGTATCAGGAAAAAGCTATTCAAAGGGACAAACACTACATTTCTTAATGCAGAGCAAGACTCCAGCTGATCAGGAATTCAGAGTACGGTAACATTTGAATGTGACAGGATATTCGTAATGCAATTATTGAACATGCAATGTATGTTATATATTCAGGTACTTACTTCTGTCCACTACAAAGTGCAGTCACACTGTTCTACATAGCTATCCTGCCACTGTCTTTGCTTCATCTGCAAATAATGCAGATTCTGGCATCAAACCTGTGAACACATATATGCCTGACACTTCCTATGTGGGCAGTCCCACCACGACCTAGACCAGTTACTTGAGAAGAGCATAAAATAGGAATCCAAATCATTTAGCTGAAATGTTTCTAAAGAGGGTTGTTTGTACTGCACTGACCATTACAACAACATGAACACTTTTTATCTGAAGTGTCACCTTGTTTGATCTAGTACCACTAAGTGCTTTTTGTGCTGAAGATTTTCAGTCAGATAAAGACTTCAGAATTGCTCCTATATGCAGTGAAGTCAATGAGAGTATAAGCAGACTACAAAAGTAAATACTGTGAAAATACATTTCATTATTTTTAAATGAGAACGTCACACAGTATCACAGCATGTGTATTTGAAAGAAAAGACATAAGACCAAATCTGAATCCACATTGATCCACGTCTATCACGTTTCCTTTCAATCCATTGAAAGAATCTCAGAGCGCAATAATAGGTTTTAGCACATCACTGATCTGAATAGGTTTAAACTGGTATATGCATTATTACTGCAAATGAATGACAAGGTCCCCAGGACGCACAATATGACTGGAAAGACTCTGCACTGGCACAATTGTAAGAGCAGCAAAATCCAGCCCCAAGGTATCTGGCATAGGTTTATTATGGTAAAGAGCAAAAAACCCCACAACCTCAGCTAATTTAATTATTACTATTTCAATCTCAGCCCCTATAAAATGTATGTATGACTAAATGAATCATCATAGATCAAATCCACGTGTGATTTATAGCCTGTACTATTTCTTAACTACCCTTCAGAAACAGGACTTCTTTTCCGGATTCTACAGATCCATTGTTTACACACACAAGCAAACGACTAGATGTAGCAATCTCAGTAATGCAACTGTATTTGTAAAATAGAGGATATGGCATCTGTTTTGGAAAGCTAAAGAAGTGGCAAGAGTCTTAACTGTCACTTGACTGATACTGGATGGCACAGAATCACACCCTTTCCACTGTTCAATAGCTTCTCCAGGAACTGAAATAGCGGACGATCACCTTTCATAAATCAGACGGGTGTTTGTGGGAAACATCTCAGACAGTAACACCCCGGCGCGTGTACAAGCTTCAAACTCGAGCTAACTTTTTCTCAAACAAACAGAAAGTCTAAACAAAACACAAGCTTTATCTTTTTAGTTGTGTAATTACAACACAAAACCTAATTATGAAATAACTCAAGTATGACCTCTTTCTGGTACAATAACATCAGTAAGATTAAAGGAATATTCAGTAAGAAAATCTACACTGCTTTATCACCTAATTCAGTCTCTCTTGAAAGAGCCCAGTTGTATTGAATTAGTCTTAAGGACCCTTTTCAAACCAATGAGCCTCTAATTCTCTCCAGATGCAAAGACAGAAATTTGGTTAGCTAATATTAGAGGGTTTAGACAGAATCCTTTAAGTGCTGATTAGGGTATTTTATCTCCCTTTCTACCTATTTATCCTTGATTACTTCCTCAAGGATATATTATAACAACACGAATTATAAAATCAGCTCAGCTCACTAAAAATAAACGAAGCTTTTCCTCATACCCCTTTTCTCCCTGCAGATTACATATCACATGCTGAGGTTAGTGTAAGAGCGTGCACACGCGCGTAACCATAAATACATTCAGATGGCGCAAAAAATATTGCTCTTAGGTAAAACAACGAGACTGGTTTGATCGGTACTCACCCCGCCGAGTTTTTGCGAGAATAAATCGGTGTGATTTCCCTTTTCAGCGAGGGAGAAAGGCGACGTTTCCTTCCCTCCCTCTCCGGCCAAACAAGAGACCTAGGAGAGCCCGATCCTGCTGCTGGGTATAATCCAGTTCCCGAGCCCGGTGGCCGCAGGGGGAGAGGAGAGGAGCCCCCGCCGCCGGGCGAAGCGGTGCTGCGGGCTGTCAGACGGTGCGGGAGTGTGAGAGCGGGGAGCGGCGGCAGCAGCGAAACATCAGAGCTTCCTGTGACATCACCCCGACCCCGCCCGCAGCCGGCCTGAAGTTACTTTTCTTTCCCAAACGGCGTGTCCCGGGGAAGCCGGGCTCCCCCCGATGCTTCCCGGCGGGAGCTGCCCGCGTCCCGCCGGTGGCCGTGGGCTCCCCCAGGGGCCCGGGGACCGGCTGCCCCGCACCTTGCCCCCGGGGTCGGCTGCAGCCCCGGGTGAAAGCCAACGCTCCGGAACGAGCCGGGAAACACTCACCCGCTCTCGTGGAAAGAAGGAGACCGCGGGTCTGATCTTGTCACGCGTGGAGCCAGTGAGATGTGTCCTCCAACCAGACCTAGAGAATTAAATCAGTTTGGACCTTGATGGGGAGACAAATAACACACAATAGCTGCATTCCTCCTTAACGGGACTGACCTGCCCCACCTCTGCCAGATACAGCACGGGACAGAGCGCAGCCCCTGCACTAAGTGCTGAAACGCCCTGCAGAGAAATGCTTTTATTCCTCAAACGTAAAACTGCATTAAAGCTCAGAATCAAATTTTCAAATTCAAGCAAGTGCATAATTTACAGTGCTTCTTCGTTTTATACCCAAGAAAAAAACCTCTGCTTTTAAGCAAGTAAGTCTTTGACATATCAAGGGGTAGAAAAAAAGGCAGCAGGAGTATTACTGCTGCTGCACAGAACTCCAGGCTGTATTGTCTTAAACACCAGTGATTTGAAAGCACAAGTATGAGCTACCTGGTTTGAAAACTGCCATCACTGAAGACAAAACAAAATCAGCAGCAGCCCTTCTACTAGCTTCAAAGAATTTTGTGGCAGGACCTAAAAATGTTTCTTTGAGAGCATTTATCACTCGTTTTTTGTACAGTTGATACCTGTGTTATAGACAGAATCTCTCCAAATCAATACACAGTTGCTGTGTGCACAGGGGAGTACCACGGTGAACACAGGTGGAGTTTGTGGAGCATTAAGCTCAAATACTATTAACACCTGTTACACCAGTACTCCTTATGTAAGGCCATAAGGACCTCCCAAACATCATGGTTTTCTAAGTGCTCATCAAAGTCAACCATTTAAATTCCTCATGAAACAAGATAAAGCATTCTGCTTGCTTCTCACTACTTGTTTCTCATGCTCTCTTTTTACCAGCAGAAACATTTGTAGAACATGCTGTGAACTGGATGAAGGAATTAATCTGAAAATCTTTTCCTCAAAAATGAAAACAGCAGGAAACCAAAAACTAAATACAAAAACCCAACTCAACCCCAACCCCCAGCCAGGGTCAGGGAAAATAGACAGAGGGAAGAGAGGAGCAGGAATACTTTAAATCCATACGGCCACTGGATAATATGAATTGTGAAATCACACTCTAAGGTCACTAAAAGAGCAGGCATATGACTTTAATACTCATTTGGCACATGCAAGTGTTGGTGCTTCTAGGATCTTACATCAACAGAATGTTTGAGTTTTATAATCAGTGAAGAACTAAGAACTGGCACTCTAAACTTCTAGGCAATGTAAACAGATATAAGCCAGGGATTAGCTCTGATTCTGAACAGCGAGGGAAATTAACTTCTCCGAAATAAACGGTGTCACCTTAGGTAGTGGAATTTCATACAAAGTAAGCCTGGTTGCATTACACCCATTAGGTCTAGGCTATAGATTATAAAACGGTACGTTACACACTGTAATCTAGAAAATAATCCCTCTATTCCAGCCAAGCAGACACATTCAAGACAGGTGTCTGAATTAGCTGCACAGATTTATTACATGGGCCATGTTTGATTTGGCATGTCAAATTCAGTGGAGTTGTGGGGTACTTGGGTTTTTTTATATATATTTTTTATATATATATAAATTTTTTTATATATATATATATTTTATATATATTTAGTTCAAAAGTCTTATATTCTACTTATTTATCTATCATTAGAACTTTCCTACTCCTATTCTCCAGTGACATTGCGATATCTCAGCTGGTGCAATTTACGCTTCAAAGACGCAGAAGGCTCCCACCCTTACTTCAGTTACCCCTTCCCCCGCCTGAAAACCGCGTAAATTACCCCAATACAGGTTGCCTTGGCGACCGGTCGCCCCCGGCGGCGCCCCCGCCCCAGGGACCGCCGCTCGGGGGCGCCGCCCCACGGAGCACTGCGCGGCGCGGTGCTGCCCCCTGGCGAGCAATGGGGCCGGGTTAGTGGATACCGCATCCCCCTTTCCTTGAAGCTGGTCATAGAATCATAGAATAGTCCAGGTTGGAAGGGACCTTTAAGATCATCTAGTCCAACCATCAACCTAACTCTGACAGAAACACACACATCACTAAACCACGTCACTAAAAGATACCACCAGAAGCGACCAGTTATGGAACATAATCCTTACGTCTGCATCAATGTGTTTGAAAACTAGAAGCTGGAAAGGTGGAGGCTTTCTCAAAATGCAAGTAAATCGATCAGCTTTGAAACAGTAGATGGAGGGAGAAACGCTGGTTCAAAACCCCATCTCTCAAAGGGCTGCCCCATCCCTGGAAGTGTTGAAGACCAAGCTGGATGGGGCTTAGAGCTACCTGGTCTAATGGAAGGTATTGGAACTCCATGGTCTTTAAGTTCCCTTCCAACTCTAACCATTCTATGATTCTAAATGTACTGGAAAAAAAAAAAAAAGAGAGGAAGGGAAAAGTAAATAAAAAGCAGAAAAAGGAGGGCATAACAGTAAGAATGTGAGAAAAAGAGAAGGAATAAAAAGAATTTAATTCTCAAAGACACTTTGCTTCATCATCTGTATGGACAAAGGACAAATACCAAGTTATTACAGGACAGATGATACGTGGAAGCTCATCAAACCTCTGTAAAATTGCTTCAGCTTGTTGGTTACCAGCACCCTGCACACTTTCCTCCAAAGCAACCAGAGCAGATTCTGGAATGAAGTGACTGGATGAAAGGACTCTAGTCCATTGGAAATGTACAGTCATTGCAACACCTTAGCATAGCTTTGTTTTCTCACTTCTTCACAGTTCTGCCACCTGATTCTCTACCATTTCCCCGTGTGGTGGCTCAACTCTTCCCCCTCCTGTGTTCAGAATTTAGTTATCTTTGAGAAGTGCACAGATCTTTTTTCTTACTCTTGCATTTGCTTGTTCTGCAGGTACTGAAGATACAGGAATGAAAAGAAGTGAATGAAGGAGAAGGGCACAAATGAAACTATTTGTGGAGTTGATGAAGATCAGATCACACTGCAGCTTGGACTTTTTATGGGAAAAACTAATTTTTAATGCATAGTAGAGCTATATGAAAAGAAGACAGGAAGACAGCTGGATAACTGGTATGGTGGCCAAACGTAGCACACACACCAAGATGAGCATGGACTCTCAGAGATTTAAATTTGAATCTCTGATTATAATCAGATCAGGTTTTATACAGTCTATAACATTCCAGTCTTCATTCTCATTGCACTAAGTCACAAGCCTAAAAGATGAATCACTTGGTAATGTTTTCTTAGTCAGCTGAAATACAGGTACTGTTGAGATGCTCTAACTATAAAGTCTGTCTCAACAACAGCATAAGAGATCCATCAATGGATCACTTGTTTAATCAGTGTTACTACAAAAGGAACGTGTGAGAAGTTTCTTTAGCATAATGGAAGTAGGGGGTGGGAGAGTATGGGGGAGTACCTGTTAGTCCTGTCCTAGCTACAGCAGTGCTGGAAGGAGAGAAGACTGCACAGTCCATGAGGAGACACTGTTAGTTTGCAGGAGAGCTCAGGAAGCAGGTAACTTAGAAGCATGGGGAGCAGCCACACAGCCAGGTTTCTCCAGGGAAAGAGAGGACAATTTTTCCTAGAATTCCAGAGTGCATTTTGTTGGTGTTGAATCCAGACAGCCAGGGACAAGTCACTGGACCAAGAGAGAGCCTGACGGAGAGATAATGCTGTGAAATGACACAGGGATCACAAGGCAATCTGTGTACAAATGCATTTATTTATTTCCTATCTATCTTTTATATCTGTTGTCTCATTCAGAATATTCTGTTTTAGAAAGTTCATCATTCTAGCTTATGATCTAATAAATCTTAGAGTTTACAAATCCTTGTTATTGTTCTTAGTGGGACTGCTTTAAGAAACACCTTGGGCATTAAGAAACACCATGGAACCTTGCCCTTCCTCCTAATCCCTGCAAGGTTCTGGTCAAAGTCCCGTCACAACTGAAAACACCACCAGGTTTACAGCTGCACTTACAGCTGGGCAGAGGATACAGCCTCAGGAATAGCTCTGTCCCCATCACCTTTACTTGGGCTTGACACTGAGCAAAATCTCTCCTTAAAAAAGCACCACTACTAATAATGCAGATTCATACAAAAACTGGAGTTATCTGAATGTGGCCCTCCTGCTGACAGAGTTAGCTTCATTCTCTTTTACATGAAGGCTTTAAGAGATGTTTTTGTTTAACGTGAATCATGGTCAAATACCTCAGAATCATGCTCAGAATACCACATTTCTTTGTAGGATAGTATAGGATAGTACTGCCTATGTGTCAGTGACAGAAGGTGGCTGTTGCAAACAGGTTACTCACCCAGCACTTGACAATTCCTGTTTTGCTTTAATATGAAACTACAGGCTCAGAATATCCTTACTGAGTCACTGAGCTACTGGAGAAGCCAAGTTGCACATACCTGAGGTGCTGGAGTGGGTCCAGAGAAGGGCATCAAAGCTGGTGAAGGGTCTGGAGCACAAGTCCTAACAGGAGAGGCTGAGGGAGCTGGGATTGTTCAGTCTGGAGAAAAGGAGGCTGAGGGGAGACCTTATCACTCTCTACAACTCCCTGAAAGGAGGTTGTGGAAACATGGGGGTCGGTCTCTCCTCCCAAGTCACAGGCAACAGGACAAGAGGAAATGGCCTCAAGTTGCACTAGGGAAGGGTCAGATATTAGGAAAGATTTTTACACTGAAAGGGTTACTAAGCATTGGAATAGGCTGCCCAGGGGAGTGGTTGAGGCACCATCCCTGGGGGTGTTTAAAAGACGGGTAGACATAGAGCTTAGAAACGTGGTTTCGTGATGGTTGGACTAGATGATTTGAAAGGTCCCTTCCAACCTAGACAATCCTATGATTCTACCTCAGCTCTTTCTCCACTCTGAGGTATATCCCACAATCTAGCAATGACTTAACTTTTAACACTGGCAATCCGTGGGAAATTATTATGGCTAAGAATGGAATATCAGATATTTTTACTGCCTTCACCATAAAGTTCATACAAGAAAAGGTGCAGACACCTGTGCACTCACCTGCATTCCCAGCCAGGCAGACACAAGCCAGTGTCGGTGTAGCAGCAGGGTAACTGTGGCATCAGTGGGGTGTTCAGCCCATTGCTAAGTCCTGCCTTTCCCACACCTGGTGTGCCTAAAGCAACTCTGCTTTTGGAGGTCAGGTCTGCTACTGTTCTGAGGCAGTTTCTGTGCTACAAGTGGAATGGCCTGGGAACAGCTTAAACCGTGGGCTCTCCACTTGTCTGCAATGACAAATTCCAGCTGGTCCAAGTATTTGACCTACTGCTCTGCTCCTGTGCAGCACAGCTCACATTTACAGACTTGACTCCTTGTACGTGGAGTACAGACGATACCTGGAGAGTAGATACAAATGATGAAGCAGAATGCAAAGATATCAAACTGGAACTGAAACTGGCAGGCAACTACACACCAAATTAATTCTGTGTAGAAAAGTGACATTACTAGTTTTCAGCAGAAAGTTGGAGTTTATAGGTTTTCCTGTCAGAAATGCACTTGTCTGATTTACACAGTTATTGTATTGTAAATCCGTGGGGTTCATATATTTTAGATGACAAGACTCTACATAAATCATAGAATGGTTAGAGTTGGAAGGGACCCTAAAGATCATCGAGTTCCAACCCCCCTGCCATGGGCAGGGACACCTCCCACTAGAGCCGGTTGTTCAAATATTTTGTTGTGCGTTTCAGTTTCATAAGCATTTTTCAAATCAGATGTAATAGATCTTAGATTAAAAGTCATAAAAGGACTTAGGCACCAGAACAGAGATTTGGGTAGAAATTCTGTATAAAAATCTGTGACTTTTACTTACCCCCTCATTCAGATAATTAGAATGTATAAATGCTTTCATTCTCAGCAGTAAAGCTTACCCTCTTTGTGGAGTTAGTCTGAAGTTCATCATGCATATAGAACTTAAGATTTCTGAAATCACACATGCGATTCAAAATGCACAGGCAAAGGTAGCTTAGTCCAACAGATCACTTATTATTCTGTCATTGCTGTCCTTGTCCTTGCTGTAGTGTGTGAGCCCCTCGTGTATTTCAGCTACTTATTTCCACACCACCTCTCACAAACTGCAATGTAACTGCCCTCAGTAGTTTTAGCCATAAAGAGAAAACATGTGATACATAACAAAAAAGATTCATAAAATCAAAGACAACAGGGAAGAGTTTCAAATATATCTTGCTATCTTTTGTTTCACAGGCAACAAGGTACTTCTAAAAAACTTAACAGAAAACCAACTAATTTTCCTTTTTTTTTTAACTTTAAAAAAATTCCCATTATAAAATATTTACCCAAAAACAGAGATGTGCCTTGGAGAAGGGCAGGAACTGTAGCACTGTTCCATCTCAGTCTTAAAAAAACACCATGAAAACCCAACGGAAAAAACCCTCAAAGTCAACTGGAGAGTAAGCATAGTGTTATTTCTAAAGCAACTTTACTTATTTCTATGAAAGGAATTTCTTCTTTTTTTTGTAAAAATTTAATACATATTTCTGGAAATTATTAACTTGCTAGCCATGAGTCTAGTCCAGTAGCAAGGATAAAAATTAAATATATTTTTAAATCTTCACAGACATCTGTCAAATTGCTTCACACATTTACAACACTCTTTTAATGGTTTTTGGTGAGTTAATCGTGATCTCACATTCATTTTACAATAGTGTAATTATATGCACTTTGATGGAGTTAAATTTAGCTTGCATAACCTAAAATACCTGATTAAAACAAACCCAGTGTCTTTTTCCTCTTTATACCAATAGACCTATCTTTTAATCTATGATGGAAAAAGTGATTAGTGTTTGACAAGCATTATGCTTTCTTTAGCACAAAAACAGATTTCAAAAAAGAATAATGGGGTAAAGTAAATTTGAATCTTGTCTACTTTTTAAGTCTTTAAGTCTTTAAGTTATACACCCACACAGCCTGTTCTGTCCTGTTTCAGCTCTGACAATTATATACAATCAAACTACAATTTAACAGCCTTTATCCAAGTGAAAGGTAATGTTTATTAACATGAATGAGGAATACATAATAAAAATATAAGCAGCTTAATAATATGTAATCAAAATAATCAGTACAGTAAATATATTTAAAGGGTGTACACTGAAGGTTTTCATTCACAGGTGAATAGTAGTTTACTTCACATTTCCATAAAAATCAAAGCTGTATTTTTTCAGGGATGATTTCCTCGCCCAGAGACTTTACTGGCTGTTTCTTTCTTTTCTTCTTGATTTTTATTAATCTTCTCTCACCTTTTTTTTTATTGAATCCTAAAGATAAAATGAAGAAAGATTAGGTGCTGTATGACTAACACATCCAAGATTATCAGAAATAAGAGACAAGTCTTGTTTTCAAGAAATATTCTTAAAAAAAAAAGAAAGAAAAACATGGTCTTACCTAAAGTCTCCATATGACTGACCAATGCCAAGTTGTCTTATTGCTGTTCTTGAACACTGTATTTTACTGTCCATCTTTCTGTCTCTAGCTCTGCCTCTCTTCTGATTTCCATTTTCAGTTTTTCTAAGACTTTCAACTATTGCATTTTATCAGGACAATACTGACTACCAAAAGTTGCACGAATGTTTCAGTCTGCAAAATATTTACCTCTGATGATAATCTGTGGCAGTATCACTTCCCATACCTTTCTTGCAGATCCTCAAACATGACTTCCTGGAGGTAAAATTATTTTCATTCCCACCGCAGCCACTGTAACTAAATGGGTGACATCTTCCAGTGGAGTAGTTGTAGAAAAATCTTAACTCTTTGGCTCTACAAAGTCCTCTGTCCATAGGGGTCATGCAGAAAGAAGGGATAGGGGGTGGTTCTAGAAAGACCAAGAAAAACGCATTAGAGACAACACTGCAGTTTACAAGTCTTCTGTTACATTGATGTTATATATGAGATTTGAAGCTCACAATCTATATAGAATTTATATGAAATTTAGTGGCAAAATTTAGTTCTGCCCTCCTGAAAATCCAGAGTACTTTACATAAACATCTGTCTTTTTATGATTTAAGCCAGCAAAAGCTTACCTAAAAACAAGGTCTGTTTCCTATATATTTAGTCATAAAATTTCCATTTCTGTGATAGGAGATAGTCTTCAATTAGAGAAGTTTCGAGTGCAGTATTTGTAGGAAGTGAAATTAAATAAATTAAACTTGGACAGCTTTTAAAACTTTACAAAAATTTATGATAATTAAGTGAATTTTCCTAAGTACTGCTAGACATTCTGAAATCAAATAGAAGGTAAAGTACCCAGCAGTTCCAATGTAAGATTCAATACCTTAATATAGGGTTTGGCATATGAATATGTAAAGGTTGACCTAAGTAATAGAAGTTGGTCTATTGAAAAACACAGAGCAATTATTAAGAAACAACTTGTAAGTTGCAGAATAACAAAGGATCAGATGTGAAGAATAAGTGCACAAAGTGACCGAGATGCTGGTGCTTTAGTGCTGCTGTTAGGTTTTTACCATTCCAAGGAGTAGGTTGATGGTTTGTTTCTTCAGTGTTGTTGCAAGTGAGAGTTTGAGAACTGAAACACTGGAAGATGAATCTGAGGTGTCCGAAGTACCTGGACTCTGGAGCAAGTTCAAGAAGCAAATCCATGCCAGAATTGCCAACCCTGGAGAAACTCCATCATCTATCACCCTGGAGTGACTCATACAAAATCAGAACTAACACAATTGCTGCAGAGGACACAAGAAACTGAATGGAAGCCATTTTATCATCAGTCATGAAGGACCCAAAGGAGCACTCTTTTCCTTCAAAAGGTAGCAGAATTGAGATAGCTAACATCTGAATGCACAAATGGAAACATGAAGCTAGTCAGGTAGCTTCTTGAAGTTACAAAGTGAAATAAAAATTTTAGGGGATAATTTGGTTACAACAGAGCTGAAGACATCCTGTTGTCACAAAAGCAGGAAGCAGATGAGTTGCTGAAAGCAAGATGTTATGAATTAACTTGGGCAATTCAAGAGGCTGACAAGAAAATGCCCAAAATGAACATGATACATCTTACTTATCTTACACATATTACACCTGCTGAAAAAGGTTCATCTGCAAAGCTGTCAAGGTGAAAAAAGTATAAAAAATTGCTGTGGAAAAAACCAGAATGATGATTTATGGAAAGCTAAGACAGCAAAATTAAAATAGTAATGTATTCAAAGCTGTGTTAGCAACATCATACTATTCAAAAACAATCCTGAAATGCAAAAACTGAGTCATGAGTTGTTTTTTCCAAGATAGATTAAGTTAGTTGCAGGTTATAAAATGAGCCCTACTTGTTTCCATAACTGTGGAATTATTGTAAGAGTAAAGTTCACTCTCGACCCAGAGTATGAGCTCACAATGTGATAAAATTTATATTAAAACTACAGTTTTATTTATAGTGAAGATGGTAGTTAATTAACTAACGTGATGCTTTTGGTACTGCTCTGAGAACTCTTGTGCCTAGAGCTAATTTCATCTCACTCTAGCTGGAGAAGGTGTTAGCTTTCAAAGCATATGTTCAGCAACATTAAAATAAAAGCATACCTACTTTGACCTGATTATTTCAGATAAAGTGGAAAGACTTGCCAGTGATGAAAGGGCCAAACAGCAGAGGTTTGTTAATTATATAACAGAATTTAAATATATACTTTGTAATGTAACTTACTTATCTGGTATGTAGAATTTTTCAGAGAGACTCCAGAGCCCTCTCATGAAGGAGTTCTCACAATGACTGTAAGCTTTAGGGGAGCCACGGAGCCAGTGGTAACTGGTGAATAAGGACTGCCTATAATGCAACTTGCAGAGTGGCATCCAAATGCTATTCAGAATCCCACTTGAACTCTTTCTAAAAATTATGTTGTTTGTCTAGATCATTGCAACATAAATGCCCCACATACCAAACACTATTCCTGTTCATCTTCAAAATATCTGCATATTCATTAGTCACAGAAACAACCAGCCTATGAAGAAAACATCTTAATTTTGCCATATAACAGCCTTCTTTTTTTTGCAACAAAACAGTATATTACAATAAAATGACATCATAATTTCCTGTATGCTGAGAATCATAAAAATTATGAATGTATTTTAATACACTGATCACTAAAAGACCTGTTAACTTTAAGATACTGTAAACATAAAATAGGTACTGGTCACACCCAGCCCAACATATGTATTGGCAGAACAATCTATAAGCCTGTGAGCCAGAATGTTAACACAGTCACACTGGGAGCATTACATCCAGGTAATTCTTCTCCATTCAGCCCCAGCTTCTGACACTGTACTTAAGCTGTATATGATGTTACAGTAAGTTTAGATATTATGCCTGTTCATGAGTTTTTCTCTCAACCGTTTTAGTTTTACAGCCTCATTTTTCTAAGTTGTTGTAATGTTTTATCTCCTGCTTTTTCTATGAAGGAAAAAAGAAAAAGAAAGAAGCAAATCTCACAACCCACAAAACTACACAGAGAGGAAAATGTACACACTGAAAACAGTAAAAAAAAAAGTAATACAAGTCCAACTATCAGAAGTATTTCCACCTAATTTAGTCATTACAGTTCTATGAATTACAGATATCAACTTTATTGAGAGGCTACTTGAGATAGAAATGCTGGTTTTAACTCTACCTTTTTCTCAATTTAGATTACATTTTAGCAATTATTTTTTTCACAGTGCAAGTAGGAATACTCATTACATTACGTAACTTAACACACATTAACATCAAGTAGATCACATCAACCCCAAAATTTAATAAATGTCATTAAACACTTTCTAACTGTTTTTTATACATGCAACTACATGGCCCATCCTATGGCCTTTGATGCAATTTCTACAGAAATCAACTGGCTATTTACTTTTACAGCAACAGACCTTAAGACTCCATCTTCACGCCATTCTATTTCTCCAAAATATGTGATTTTAACAGGTTTTAAATGTCCAATAGCAAGCTCACAAACTTGGATTCGCTATGTATATTATTTGCTAAATATATGTAACATAATTCAAGTCACAAACAGGTATGGAAAAAAAGAATTTACAACTCATACAGGCAAAGGACAAATGAAAGTTTCCAAGCTGAGTTTGTCAAACATTTCCAGGTGTAAAATTTTCTTCTGGAAAATGCTGATACAATGAAATAGAAATTCCTGTTCCTCAGAAACGAGGCAATTCCATCAGAAACTTTTGAAGGAAATGAGACCTTGGAACCCATCTCCAGTGGAGCTTGGGAACTGGAAGTCTGGCCACTAGTTCTGCAGGAGCCTCTCAAATGGGTTTCAGGCTTTACAAAAACAAAACACAGCATAGGTCTTCCTGTTTGCTTATCTTTCTGTTACTTCTTTTTCTTGATGATGCAAATGTTTGGACTGATTTTTTTTTGATGAGAGAGTAAGACCAAAAACTGCAATATTTGATATTTAGTTTCTGAAAAAATATCTAAACTAATTATATGGAACAAAGAGTCGATTAAAACGGCTATCATTCTTACCTATAAAAATACTATTGTATCTTACCCTTCACTGCTACCTAAACAATCTTTAAACGTGTATGGTTTAAGAAATAATTCTTATAATACAGCCTTTTCTCAAAACCCAGACACCCCCCTCTGTAGCGTGAACAGATGACATGGTCATACTTCAGAATCTCTGAAACATGCATATCCTCTCTCCGAACATTGACTCATGTTTAAATAAAAAAAATTCCCAATCCTGCATTGCAACAATAACCATTATTCCCTCAAGCTTATCTTGGGTTGTGTGACAATGAACTGTTAATTGATCACAGTACAAAAGAAGTTTGGAACGATCTTGGTGAGCTGGATGAGAAAAATGCTTCCTGCATTCTCTTCTGCTAGACACCGGTGGGTGACATTGACGAAGCTTCAGATTTATTGCCAGATCTTTGATATATGCAGACTTTAGTATCTCATTTCTAGTTGCAGCAAAGAGAAAATAAAAGAATCTTCACGTAGACAAGCTACTACAAAAATAATGAGTCATCCGCACTTGACAGTACTCTATAGGTATAAATTGGTGCAGATCCATTTTAGTGAACAGAACTGTGTCAATTTATATCAGCAAAAGATATGGCCCTGACTTTGAGAAGTAATAACAGGAACTCTTTCTGTGTGTCATTCCGTATTTGCTGAGTTGAAAGCTGACTTTTGATCCTGCACCCCACTTAGTGAATGTAGAGTATAGCACTCATAATTCCCTAACATAGATCACTTCATATAGTCTAAAAATGAAAGGCTTGATTCTTGCCTTCACTATCTCTTAACTTTCCCAGAATAAAAGTTATTTTAGTTCTTGCAGCAGAGTAAGACAAGAACAATCTTCATGCTCTGCAGAAAGTTCATTGTTGAGATAGCGTCAGAAGTCTCATGTTTATATGAAGAAAAAAGTTTGTTTTGTTTGCCAATAGAAGAGTTTAATTTTCTGAAAATCAAGAACTTTGTTGGAAATCTATTAATCTGATATCATTGCAGAGTTATACATACCACCAATAATATGTATTTTTTCTTGAAATCAAGATGAAATAGCATTTCAATTGTGAGGTAAGGTATTCCATAAGAGACAATTGTTTGAAAAATTGTTTTTTAGTGGTGGTCATGTATTTTAAAAAACAATGAAGATACATAACCACACCAATATACACCCAAAATAGATGTTACAGTGGCAGACCAGCTACTTTGCTTGTCCTAGAGAAGATAGGTATCAGCCACTCCATCCTGACTTCATATGTGCACAGCCAGATTCTTGTCCCTCGCTGAGGGCCAAGGGGAGTCACAGTACATCTTTGTGTGAGATGGCTCTACCTTGCAACTTCAGTTTACACCTCTACCTCTAGCAACAGCAAGAATGGCAGCTATACTCTCCACATCTCTGTGGAGAAATCAGCTGGTTTTTTTCTTCCCCCCATTAGTGGGATTGCACAAAGCACAAGATTTTAGCCCATCCCAGCAGCCTGAAAGATACAAACAGAATGGCAGCAGGTGGCTCTATGTGGCAAACTTTCTTCCACCAACTTTTGAGTCTTCTCTTTCTCTTACCCCCACCTCTCTCTTCCAAAATCTGCTCTACCAGAAAATTCAATATTGCTGAAACAATCAAGAATCCTTCAGTTTCCTCTGAGAAAACATAATGAATCTTGCCCCTTTGCTTGTACAGATGAGCTGCTTTGGAGATTTGGAGATTCTTATTATGAGTAAAAACCTTTAGGAAACATGTACACCCTTATGTCCCTAGACTTACTTCCAGGCCTTAAGTCACTCAAATATTTTCCAGTGAAAAAAGTTGCCAAAAGCCTTACTGTTTTATATTCAATCATTTTAATAAAGGAGTGCATTGATGCTTTGTGTGTGGTAAACAAACAATCCAGCTATCACAGAAACTTACCTCAACTCAACAGTGCATGTGGATCATAGTGCAGGCAAAAAAAATAGAATACAACACACATTCAAGCTTTATTAGACATATAATTCTAAGCAAAGAGTATAGGAATGTTATTCTACATGCCCATTCTTACAGATCATATTAAACACAAAAGCCTTAATGAATTCGTAAGTCATCACTCAGTCCCCAAAAGTATAAGTATGTGTAAATGCAAAAAACCAACAAAAATGCTTGGTAAGAATGCTCAGGCTTTTTCCAACTGTTTCTTGTTTCCTCTTGCATAACTGTGGATCATAAAAATGACATGCCTCAAATTCAATCTCCCTTTACAGTGTGAGCAAGTACCAGCAATCTATAGCTGACAGCCTCCAGCTGTAGAAACTGTTAAAATCTGGCCCTCTACAGCAAAGGTCCAGATTTTCATCTGCATTATAATACATAATGCAAAAATACCTTAAAGCAGACACAAAATTAATTCACACTCACTTTGATTATACTCAGACCAAAAACTGAGTTTAATATAGCCTTAGTGGAAATAAAAAAAGTATTATGATAAATATATTGTGCCATATTCCAAAATCCAAATATGGTCCTTTTTTAACAGGTACAAAGAGCTTTAAATCAGCTGCTAATTAGATCCCCACAAAAATATTAATTTTGACTAAAAGAACTCTGCATCACTGCTTTTAATCCTTATATTTTTGTATTTATCAGACCTTCAGGAAGCACACACTTTCAGAAGAGTACAAGATGTGGTCAGTCTGCCACTTTCTGATACTTATTGAAGATCTGTAAGTGGCAATATATTTCTTTCTTTGATTTTCTCTGCTTATCACATTTAACAGATATAAGCCCACTCTTTAGTCTCAGATATGTCGTAAAATGGCTGGAAATAGAATAGCAATCCCGAGTGCATATGAAAGACCGAGAGCTAAGAACTGAAAAATCTTACCAAAAAAAATGGGAAACTGGTTGCGCTCCTCCTTTGGGGAACTACTGTTCAGATTGCTGGACTTCTCATTTTGAGCAGTTGGCAGCGAATTGACTAAAAGGAAAAAGAAGTGAAACAGTAAATGAGGGGTCATCTAGACAGAACAAAGCTCTGAAAATAAGCTATGATTGATACCCATCTGCCTTGCTCTATGCCAATATTAATACCACTGAAAGGCAGTATTTCTTTAAGTCCCAAAGGCATAGGGAACTAATGTGCCGAGGCAACTTTGGGATGGATTCCTTTTTCTTCCTTAATTTTACCAATGTAAGATTTAAATCAATCATGGTTTGGTAAGGTTACTTTAATATTACTACCAGACATTCTAACCTCTGTAATTGTAAGCCTTTTTCAAAATATGTATTACTGACGACAAAATGGCTATGAAAATAACTTTAATGTTATTAAATTCACTGCAACTAATATATATGCCTTCAAATAACCAGGAAAATGAGTGGACAAGCCAAGGAGTGTCTGCATTAAAAATGCCTAACTTTTTTTGGTTTTTTTGCAAAAGCAAATTCTTACCAAAAATCCCAGGAAATTGGTTGGGTTCTTTCTCTAGGGAACTACTGTTCCCAGTTTTAGCTGGAACAACTGGCAATAAATTTGCTAAAAGAAAAACGAAAAACAATTGGTATCAATGATTCATATCACTCAGGTAAAAACTCTGATCTATTTAAATGATGGCAATGGCCCCTAATGCTCTCTTTCCTTTTTGGGTATTCATACAAATTTACATGAAGGTGTTATTTCAGATTAAAGTCAGGAAAAAAAAGAAATCTACAACTTCTAATCCATAAGATAAAAGTGGAATCAGAGTCTGGGAAGAAATGCTTCAGCAAAGGTAGGAGAAGAGTACATGACTCTGTATTTTTATTTTATTTTATTTTATTTTATTTTATTTTATTTTATTTTATTTTATTTTATCTTTAAAAAAGGAACCATAGTGGGTCTTGTCTTTTCTAAATATGAATAAGCTCAAGTTCCCCTTGCCAAAATGACCGATTATGAAACAGTTCTGGAAAAAGGCCCACCCCAAGCAAGACAAAAGGGTCTGGAGGCTCTGGCTGGGAACAAGTATTAGTCCTATGAATAGAAGTAAACACTTTGTGAAGAGCAGAGTAGTTATGAAGGTTACTATATTCTGATATAGAACAATTCATAGGAACTAGCAGGATGAGAAAGTGGATGAATGATCTGTGGTCAGTCTGAATGGCTGTTTCATAGCACAAGCTGCACAGCCAAATCATTCAGAAACAAGGGACAGGTTTCCATGATTCCTTAGTGGGAAGCTAGCAATGCACAACAAGGAAACAGTAAAACCAGAAATTCCTATATTGGCATCTCTTTTCATTACAAGACTTTGTTTGAAAAAAGCATATTCAGATTTACAGGTTACAAAATATATATTAACATATTATGCCATTATAAAGCCAAGCAGCTGGCAGATTTTAGATATCAGAAAAAGAATTATGTGGCTGTAAGCAGAATAGGTCCATTTCTTCATCCCCTGTCATTATAGCCTCTATTACTGTAAACTCTCTGCCTTCTTCAATATAGGTACCGATATTTTTATAATACATTTCAAACCAAATTACCCCAACTTTCCACCCTAGAAATCGTGTTTATAAAATCTTCCCCCTAATGGCAAGTTAAATGGGGAAATGTGATGCTCTAACGTAAGGTATGGACAGGAAACAGTACTCATTGTGGACCAAAGCCCCTCTTCAGTTGAACTTCATGTTATTTTAATTACTTCATCTGTCTCTATTGCTTCTAACATTCTGTTTCAAATTCTGTATCACACGCTATTTGTTTCAACTTAGATATATTAAATAGTATGTAGATTTCTGAAAATTAATATAGTGTTCTTTCTTACACAGACAGGATTAATATATATTTTGCAGGGAGTTGTAGAATTAACACATATGCAGGAAACTAAGTCACATGAGAAAAGTAAAAAAGTAGGAGTCCTGTAATATTAATTAAAATTAATAGTACAGACCGTTTTTTTTAGTTTATATTTTCCTTTTTTGTATTTTTATTTAAAATATAATTAATGTTAATTTCAGATCTAAATTATTTCCACCTAAGGGTGCCCTAAGTTGCCTTTTTTCCATGCAAGATACCTTATAACACAACATAATTTATACAATAACATTAAGAATAATGAGGACAACAACTTACAGTTGCCTTGGCAGGTAGCCTGGCATTCTTCCAAATTCTTGAAGTTGTTCTGGTTTCCTAGGCACCCACCATACTTGAATACTTCACATATCTTTGTCTCTTTGTTATAGAAATACCTGGAAAAATAGCCTCGGCAGATTCCAGGGTCTTTCTCATGAAAGCAGAAGCTGGGCTTTTCTACAAACAATGGTAAATGATGAACAGGGTGGGGGAAGGAAAAAAAAAACAATCAACACACATTCCAAGACAATAATAGAACTGGGGGAAGTTTATAAAATAAACCTGCAACTTTGGACTAAAGACTAACTGTAAAATAGCTGCTGCTTTATTGCAGTGGTTTTGTTCTATATATAACGCTGCAGTATTAAACTGGAGCATTATAGAGACATATTTATTGCTTTTTTTCCTCTTTTCAAGTAGCCAGTAAATTATATCTTAGAAATCAAGGACTAATGATCCTTTAAGTGTCCTCCTACACTGAAGCTCTAAGAGTAAAATGAGTTTTTACTCTAAATTAAAGCAAGACTTGAATCTCAGCTGGATCATTTGAATCTAAGTACACATTCTTGTCATTTATGTATTCATTTCAGTCAATGATAGTGTGAAATATACAGAGAGCAACGTTAAAATAGAAGGAAGAAGGAAATAGTTTTTAAAGAAGAACAGAAAAAATATCTAACAATGCATTTTGTCTGGGACAGTCTACTGCTATAAAAGGATACAGGAAACTGGGAGACAGAGCAGCTGTTCAAACTATCATTTTTCAATCCCAGTTCCTAGTTTGCAATCAGTAACTACAATATCAACCAAGAAAAATTAACAAATTAATACTGTGTGATTTGGCTGAATATCAAGGCATGATACACGACTTCTGGCAGAGAAGATAAACACATAGCCATACAATAATCCCCAAATGTCAATTTCTCACCATATTCAATTTTCTCTTAAAATAATATTCTTAAAAAAAAATAATGGAGAGTATAATGAAATACATGTGGAAGTATTCTCAAATTCTTGCTAGATACTTTGAAATATGATTCTTGAGCGAGCTGAGTTGCAGAGAAAAGTGTATTTAGCCATAATATGAGACAATCATATCACATGTGACATATAAAGGCCTTTCTCACCTGTGAAACATAATAGAATATTGAGACTAAAACAGGGCTGCCATTTTAATGAAAATCACTGTAGAAAAATTAAGCTGAAGTCCCTAACATTTTTGGAGTAGATTATGGAGTTGTAAGGAAGTTAATCCTATTATGTCTATTTTAGCCAAGTATCTATTAAAAGAAAATTCTAGAACAAGAATATTATTAAAATAAATTGATGCACAGCATATATTTATATAAAACATTATAATAGCTCATAATTGGTGCTTTTTTCAAGAAATAATTGTCAATATCTTGTTTTTAAATTGTTATAAAGCTTCATGAACAGCAAAATGTAAAATTAAAACCATTAAAATGTTCTTGCATAAATAGAATCAACTATTTTAAGCACTCCTGCTTAAAAGTCAAAAATTTTGATTTTTCACTACAAATTGCATTCTCTGCCATTAAGTAAATGTTTTCTAAAGTTGAGATATATCACATTTCTTACTATTCAAATGCAGCACCTATTGATGTTCACAGATTTACAAAACTAAGTTCACATAGACCAACAAATATGAAAGGGGCGGACACAGCATATGATATGCTTTCAGCTGTGCATGGAAATGAGACAGTTATGTATATAGGTATCAGGCAAGAATCTGCCAGAGTAGTACCTATTCTGTCTATTAAGAGTTCACAGACAATAGGAGCTATAGAAGTAATTCTTCCATCAAGCATTGCATAATATTGTGACATAACAGAAAAGATTATTGGGTAGATATTAATTGAGAAATTAAGGCAGATAATAATAAGGGTACGTAGACAACAGGATTATGACTCGATTCTTAAGAACAGCTGCTCTTCATTTAGAAAATCCTTACATTAAAACGGTTCTTGCAGAAAAAGGAAATTATGTCCAAATAAGTTGAGCTCACAGGCAACTTTTATAGCCACTTTTGAAGAAAGAGGTCATGAAGGAAATATAATCCCAACTATACAAACTAGTATTACACTTCTAAATGTCATGTCTTTCTCCAGAGACTCAATATTCAAGACTACATTACTTGAAACAATAGTAAACACATAATGACGTTGATAATAGCCATGACATGAATTTAACAAGATATGTTCTGGTTTGTCATTAAAAGCAGGGAACTGGGGTCAGACCTTAAAGGAATTAGTGCCAAATGTCTGCAGCATCTGTGGAAAATCAACTTCAGTAACTTCCATAGCATAGAACCACAATTTTTTTTTTTTTAATGCATTAATAATGGAAAAGACAGCAAACAACAGGAAAAGAAAACTATCATCTCAGTATGAAAATATTCAAGAATACCATTCTGCAAAGATAAATGATTTAATTAATCTATGACAAAATTTATGTGCAAATATTGGTATTTCTGTGAGGAATTAAATGCACACCAATTCAAGAGGAAGCAAGTGGAAGGAAGCAAGGGATAAGGGAAGGAGGGTAAACAGAGAAAGAGGAACTGACTTGTGATGAAATTTACTCATCTGTACTTGGGGAACTCTGGCTACCAGCACTGGGCCCAATCCAGATAAGTCTCTAATGTGGAATGAGGTGGTGGGGTGGAATAGGTCTTCACCAGCTCCACTGCAAGCATCAAACTTAAATACCCTTGTTAGGAACATAGGTTACCTCAATAGACCAACAGTGTTTCAGACAAGTGATTCTCACTGCTTAAGCAGTGCTATTTAAGAAGTCTGGGTATCAGGCATTTAAATTTCTGTAAACAGTCTGCTCCTTCAGGAGCAGAAAACTTACCCTCTTGCTTAATGAGTAATTAGGGGATCTGCCCTAACTTCTGTTATTTCCTACACATGCAATGCTTGAAAAGTTCTGTTTCAGAGTGGGGTTTTTTCCTATTTTTGCTAACAGTGGAGGAAGCATTTAGATTAGTTTCAAAACACAAAATAAGAGTTTCAAATAATGGCTAATTATATAGCGCTTGTATCTCTGCAGAGTCATTCTTTTCTCTTTATTGAAGAAAGAGAAAGAAAGTGTCATGATGTGCTTATTTTGGGGAGAAGAGATTGCAGCTACAATCTTCAGTGACCACATCTGCCCTCAAAGTCTTTGGAAGAGGAAGAAGATTAGGAATAAGAATTTACTTGAGACTGACATTCTTGTTTTTATTAGGAGATAGCTTGGAACAATACATAAAGAATTTATCAAAGGAAGCTAAATCCTTTATTGTTGTATAAGAGTCTTAGGTTATTATGTAAACATAATTACCTTTCTTAATTTTTGCTAACATCATCTTCCGAGGCAATTCTGCAATAGAAATAAAAAGACAAGTATTTAGCAAAAGCAGACTTGTTAAGTCTCACCTGTGATACCAGGGTGCTTAGCAGTGACTATGAGCACTGAGGAGGAAGAATACAGCATGGCTTCCTCTTCTTTCTTCTCTTTAATAGAGCAGCAACACAAAAGCTTGCTCTGGAGGACTGGAGTATCTTTTCCTTTGTATGAGAAGACCTGCTGTATTGGAAACTTGAGGATACGGAAAGCACTGCAATGAAATTATGCCAATATCGAATTGAACAGAGAAATTCCTCTTCATGTTACTGGAATGAGAATCCTGTATTATGTAATCTTACTCCTCAAAAAGGAGTGATTAGCAGACTTACTTAAACCAACTGCTGTAGCTACTGATACTGTCTAGTACCTTCAGAGCTGATCTAGTTAGCAATAAAGACCTCCCTCATGCTATCCAATTCCCTTTGATCTGTTATCTAGTGTCTGAGTAAAGTGTTCATTATGCTGTTTATGATATTAAAGCCCATTCATCCAAGTATCTCCAACCATCTTTAGGGTAGTATAGACGACAAACTTGTTTGCGCTGCTTTTTTAGTGCCTGATCAGCAGTGATGAAGTTGGTATTGTTATTTTTAATGGAGAAGCCTGGGTTTTATTGAACTTCTTAAGAAGCTGGATATCTGAATTCAACCCTACATTCCCTTCAGTGATTGAAAACAAGCCTTCTTTCCCTTCTAGGAGACTGCCTAATCATAAAACTACAAAGGAATCCAAGGGTAGACTGACTCAGCCAATGTGTAAACAAGGCCGAAAATTTTTCACCATCACAAGTGGTGAAATATAGCGTATGTATTTTCTATTATAGAGATATTTTCAAGGAATATGAAACAGTAGCTTCTGGACTTCACCTAATTCATCTTAATTGCATTGCTTCATAATTCTTGTTTTGTATTTGTGCTTTTCTTAATCGCATTATAAAATGCCAGTTTCTCTAAAATTCTCCTTTGCCTACTGACTTTTTGCATCTGAGAGAAGGGATAAAGTGGTACAGCTCATGCTTTGCTCAAAGTTGTCTGCTGGAAAGCAAACACAATTTTATCTTACATTTTTGCTCTGTCAGGCAGTTGAGCACACTGTAATAAAGCAATACATTTGCCTGACTCTGCCATCTTACTTAGCTACCACAGCCCCACTTCAAGAAGATACCAGTTTCCTACAGTACATGCCAAGAGTAGCAGTTCAGCAGCAGAAGGATATGACAAATTGTAATATGTAAATTGTCATTTTAATAAGGTCCCCCACCGCTATTATTTATAAAAATCTCTTCACAGTCCAAAACTGAAAGGAATCTTAGCAGTTTATTCTCCACTCATATTCCAGAGCAAGTGTTTCTAACTATCCTTTATATAGTGATACACCTTTCATGGCTCCTATTTTAAGAAGCACTGCTGATGACTAATAAGCTTTTAGCATTAGCTGTACTGCCCCTGCATGCTGTAATCTTACCACAGCTATTGCTTTTTCTTCTGGAAACATGGCCTGTGTTATATATTTGAAGTAAGTTTATCGGGTAGAAATCCTGTCATGATAGATTTTCCTCCCATCTCTGGGACAATGCAGCTGGCATCCTTAAAAAGATCTTGTTTAAAGATATGACATGCACTTAAAAGAGTGACATATCATTTGTTTGAACATCTTTCCAGTGCTTCCTACTAATAGGACGCTGTGCCTTCAGCATTTAAATGCATGACCCAAACCATGGGCACTCACATCAGGCCATTTCACTAATTTCACTCAGGCCAAAATCAGCAATCATACTTTGGCATATGATCTCTGCTTTTCTGGCACAGAACAGGAAGAATTTCTTGTAAGTTTATACAGGCCTAGAATATTTTAATCTTACTACCATGTCAACAGTGTCTTTTTGCTTCTGGTTTCAGTCAAAAAGTCAAATCCACAGCTGAGTTACTTTCTTCTTTGTAAACAAACTGTATTTCTGAGTAGATCTGCTGTGTAAATAATAGATTCCAGAATTGCTGTCATGTCCAGAGCCTTTTATCAGTGGGTATCTTCCCACATTAGAAGCTTAAGTAGCCTAAGACATATATTAATTGCCTTGAATATTAGGGACTTTATGCTAGTGATAACATTTGTGATTCTGTTCATATCCAGTAAACAATGGAGCATATAGGCAAACTCCTCTTAAAAGTAGTTTTTTTCTTCCCTGAAGTGGTGAGTATTGGGCACAAGAAACAAAAAATATAGCTGATTTCTAGGACACTTGAGTCAGAACTAGGCATCTTGAATCTGAACACTGTCTTACAGAGCCTTGGAGTGGCCAGCCTGTAGTTGGACACTCTCAACTCTCTTGTACTGACTTGAGTCAGTTCTGGGAATTACTCATTTCTGTCTTCGATTGCTTATTCATTCAAAAATTTGAAGAAGTTGCTCTGATTTAAGGATTCTGGCAATTTACTGACGCTGGCTCATTTCTTCTTGTATTTGTGCTTAATATTGGAAAATCAGACACTTTGGCTATTTACATTATTTCTTTTGAATTTGTATATATATCACATAACCGCCCTTTAGCTTATTTTTAACAATCATGGCCTTCACATTCTTCATAGTGATAATTGCCTGACTATCTCTTAGATTTATTGTTTTTAAGCATTTTTCTATCACTCATACTGTCTTTTCAGTCTGATTACAGTTACTAAGTAGTGATCTTCTTGCAGTAATACATACGGGAAACATTAATTAAGATGGATATAACCATGGACTGCAAGACTACACAGACAGAGACAGATTTAACAAACAGAACCTACTGAATTATATATTTTTTTTCTTACTGAATTACGTTGGCAAAAGTGGGTTAACTTATTAGTTGACTTTGTTTTATGGCTGATGGTCAACAGCACACTGTGTATGCCATCAAACCATTTTATCTGCTGTTATTCATTCAGAGAATACAGAAGTAATGAGTCTATATTTCTCCAGCTCCTCATAGAAGATTCAACACTTGCAGATTCTTGGATCACTCATGTTTTGGATGAGATACCGGCAGCTGGAGTCTTGCAAACAACCCTGCTCCAAGCATGGCAAAAATGCTGTGGATCCAGCTGAAACCCAAACCCGGATACTTAGTAAAGTATTAAAAGCCAGTCTTGTGACAAAAAAATAAGAGCTATCTGCACATCCTAGATCCCAGGTCTTTCTGGCACCGAATGCTGATCAAGAAAAATAACTTCCCATTTTTTATCTTGAAAGATTGTATTCGTTAAACTCCGTGGAGCCATAACTCGAAACAGATTCATCACAATTTTCTAAACAAAACACTGTTGAAGTGAAGAAAATGGCTTTTAAGGAAAGCTGTTCTCTTAGAATGACAGCGTCAATGTTCATTTATTAAACTTTTATGTATGCATTGTCTGGAGTTCAGTTTCATTAATTTCTCTGCTGAAAATTTAATAAGTATGGAAAGAAACTTTTAAGCTGATTGTCCATAGGAAAAAAATAGTTGGTTAAATCCATGATACAAACTTATGACTCATGAAAGCCATATGACAAAGAAGGAATTTCAAGTCTAGAAAGGGAATTTTTCAGATAAACAGACAATTACTATGCAAAATATTAATGCCACCATTTGAATACTTTTTAACTCCTTAACATTTGTCTTGAAAGCTTGCAAAAATATCATCATTCAATTCTGATAAAAATACATCTTCTGGATAACCATACAAAATAATATTAATTAACACTCAAAAACCTGCCCAGGCTGGGTTAAGCAGAGGAAAGACATCAGCTGCTTTAGCCATAAACCTTTACAGGGGTGATGATCAGCAAATGCTAAATCTAAGTCTTTTACACCTTTCAGCCCAAGTTGGAAGCAAGACCACCTCCTGCCTTTTTAGCCTCAAGCACTACATCCTTATCTTCTCTACTAACAAGCACTAAAATTGGCATATTCTGGATGGAGAAAATGACCCAGATATAGAGATATTGGAATTGTCACGCAGGCCTTGATACAGGAAATCTGAAACATGTTACTGATTATAACTTGTGCTATAACCAGCACAAACTATTTGCTCTCCTTAAATATTGTAGGGTTCAGTTCCCAAGCAGGATGAACAGCTAGACTTTTTGATAGAACAATTTGTAGAACAAAATAATGGGAGTTAGAAAAGGAACAAGATGTTATTTTTGTATACTGGTTAAGCACAGCTCTGAACTTCCATTCCTCTATAATGATTTTCTGCCAAGAACTGTCATCTGCTCCTATCCAGTAGTTTCCTATGGAGATCTAAAAAGATATTACTTTAATTCTATCTTACTTTTGTATCAATGTTTTTTACTCAGGTATGAAGAAGCCAAGACACAGATAGCATAGTCTGGAGAAAGAACAATATTGTGAACAGCTTTTATCCTAACTGACTTCTAAAGAAACAAACACAGATGCATGAGCACCAAAACAGTAATTTGCACTTCTAGTAGTATCTGAGACTTCAACATAAAAAGATATGGAATAGCTGGTGCACGGGTTCTTTCCTTTCTCAGCCAGTTCAGTAAGAGTTGGCTTAAGACTCGTTTCAGATCCAAGTAGGACAGAGTTTCATTGACTTTATGTGTGCTTGCATTTAGGCCAAGATGTTTATATTCAGGAAGATGCTTTTCTATATGTCACCTCTTTTTTTTGACTTCAAATGCTAGATTATGTTATATAAGGAATTAGGATTTCCATGTCATTTTTCCTCAATGGAATGTAGTTTCAAGATATACCTTATTTTAATATCATTAGCACTACATTTACCCTACATTTTAATATCATTAGCTTCTAAAGACAGAGTGAGACTGTGACTGATTCTTGCCACTTCTTCCCTGGACCACATCCAGTCTCTGATGCTCATTAGTGGATCTTGCCAGAAGCCATCAAAAGATAAGTTTCTAATTAATCCTTAAAGTAAAATGCACTGAACTGCTGTTCACTTAAAGAATGGAGTGATCTGATCATTTTCATTTTGACAGGTTGTTAGTGAAGTTTCGTAGTGTTTTTTCCATCCTGATAGTTTTATAAGCACGCAATTGTTTGAAAGCAAAACATAACTGATGAGAAGAATAACTGAAATCTTTCAACCTAAAATTTAAGGTTCATGTTTGTGTTTATTTTTTCTTTTCTTTTGAGTGAATTATCGATAGTGCCAGGTACAATAACAGAAACACATGGTGGCACCAGAAGAATGGAAAATAGGTGTGAATGGTAAATAATGCCTTGGCTTAGTATTTAGTGAGTAAATAAAATGCACGCAGTCTCCTCACAGTAAAGATCAAAGGGATCAAGACCAGGGATACCTGTTAGGAAGGGTGGGATTTCCTCTGTTAGCTCCTTCTGATACTTTCTCACCAGTGAAACTTTGTGTTCATGTAGAACACATTAGATTTAATTTTGCTATTATTCATACATACAGTCCCATTGAGGTCTTGTTCCACTCAGCTACAATATTCTGGCTCACTTTGTGTAGCTAAGAAGGAGCCCTGCTTTACTCTGTAAATCGTAAAGATCATTGGAAATTGTCATACTAGAAACATATAACAAACATATATACTCACTTATTCTTTCCCTTGCTGTGTCTGGACTGGTTACAGAGGGACAAAAGTCTGAGTCAAAGAACTGAATTACAGACTTGAGAAATTCACAAAGCCTATGCTGGATAATGACACGTGTTGCTGGTGTGTTGGTTTGTATTCAAACAAATTCTTCTATTACATAGACACATCTGCAAGGAAACATCAGCTACCTATATGGATAGCTGAATAGTAGGAAATAGACAACTTTGCAAATCTTATTAGTAATTTTTCCTTTCATTTTAAACACCTGTAACTACTTGAAAAAGTTGATCAAGCATGTGAAAGTGTAAGTAGGTATTAATATTATATAGTATAGTATCAAGACTATATAGTTCATACAGACAGAAGAGATTACACCTACGAGTCAAGTAAATGCCAGACACCCTGAGGTGTACTTCTTGCTCTGATTATAACACAGTCTATGGACTTCACTTACTTTTCTGTTACATTGCCACCTTTCTTTTTCTGTCAGTAAACGGGAAGATAATAAATTGCTTATTTGCAATACCTGGCTATTGGTATGATCAGGTAATGCTTGCAGATTCTGAGGATTAGAAGCATTATAACTAACAAACATTAAGATATTACTTAGGGTAACATGCACATCAGATGTGAATTCTGAAAGGGAGTTGGCTAACAGAGATGTTTACAATTACAGATAAAGCACGATATTATAAATAAGCTTGTCTTATATATATAATTTTATATATATATATATTTTTATATATTCTGTTTGGGTCAGAAAACCCCAAAAGAAGCTTCTGACATCAATTTTCTCATCTGAAATTTCTGGAAGCATTTTTGGTAACATATATAATTTTGCTGTGCTTTAAAGGGATCTATGCTAATTCTTAAAGGTACAAATTTCTATTCTGCAAATCAACTCAGTGCCTATATCACATTGGCATAGTTGCAGTTTTATGGAAATTCCAAGGGTTAGAATAAATTATGAAAACAGGGCAAACAAAGTGACACCTACCAAGATCTGGGTAACAGTAGGGTGCCCAGGTACTGGGCACCCAATAGGCAGGAGAGATTAACAATTTTCATCCAATTGTGTTGCCTACACTCAGAATAACCTGTAAAATGTTCTTGACTGTGGGATTGCCCAGCATCGCTATGCTGAACTCAGTAACAACAACATATTTTGCTACTGGGGAAGGCACACGTGACTGAGAAGTACCTCCTATTGAATATGAATCCCTCTATCTTACTTCAAAGTCTAAATAAATGAACATCCAATACATGAATTCACTTGGGAAAAAAAGCACACATAGCTGGTATACTCCCTGAGTTTTCACACACCTTTGAGAAGCTCTTTATTCTAGAATTTTATTTCTATTTCTAATTTGTCATCCATCCGTCTCTGTCCCGTTACCCCTGTCCTTACCTCCCTCATTATCACTTCCTGTGTACACAGCCAGACAGGTTCTGTCTAATACCCATGAAAGCAAGATCAGTAAAAAATATGAAGTCTAAAAATACAAACTTATCAAATTTCTATCTCTACTGGCATTAGCTTCCAATTTTAAGAATCTTCTAATTTTCATACACTCCCGTGAGGAACAAGAGTTGGTTACTTTCACAAGGCTGAAAACCTTAGTTAATGATGAGGATAATTTTTAATAGCAAAACCAGCATTCACAAGGCACATTCTGTATATTTTGCTGTGTATCATATTTTGGATCTCATTTTCCTCTTTCTAACAATTAATTGATGAGGTTTTAAGAAAATGGATCTTTTATGACAAACTGCAATTTTTAAAGAGAATTATTTACTACTACAGTTCTAATTATGTTGAATCATAGCAGGTGTCCAAACTTTTGGACACCTTGTATCAGCTTCTCAGTAAAGGAGAAACCTGGGATCAAAAATTGGGTTAGATACTCTGAAAGTAATAAAGGGCACCTCTGCTGTCCACCAGCTTAGCCCAGACTCAAAATCAACTTCACTTTAAGAACTCATTCAAAACAGGGCTTGAGCTAGAAAATAGGCTTTCTTGCATTGGCGCAAGTCCACCAAAATGTCACGCTTATCTTTCCAAATCCTGAATGTTTGCTTGCACAATGTAAAATAATTAAGATAACTACAACATAGTATAATACTTGGGAACATAATTACATGCATCACATACACTATTAATAAGAACTGAAGAGGACCTCTACTTCCAAAATTCATACAGTTCGTGGGTGAGAATTAACAGATGCAAATGAGGAACTGGTAGGATGTTAAGGGAATGGGTACTGACCTGTTACCGCACACTTCTGCTGACATTCTTCCAGTGTTATGAAGTTGTTCTCATTGCCATGGCATCCACCATATTCAAACATTTCGCACTCACGGCTTTGAATATTGAAGTAATAACGCATGTGGATTGCTTTGCATGGACCTTCATCTGCTTTCATGGCACAGACTGAATGTCCTAGCTTCAGTGGTGGAAAAGCAGCCCCTGTAATAAAGAAGAGAAGTAGAACTAATAAGTAACAATAACTAATTAGTTATTTTGCTTTACTGACAGCACAGCATAACTTCAAAATGAGATTGCTTGCATCTTCTACTAGAGAGGTACTGAATAACATCTGGTTGTAAACCTCTGAATACACTGAACAGATGTAAAAAGAAAATTATCATCTCTATTGGAATGTGAATTCCATTCAATCAAACCAAATGCATAGTTTCAACTTTCAACCAAAACAGCTCATATTTTAAATTTTTACTCCTTGTCATAAATCTCGAAATAGCTATAGATAATGGCTTATTCACAGGAGCTAGGTGAACAATTCTGAACAAGCAGTACATTGAGAAAATCCTAGCAGCTCCCAAAGACACAGTGACTACCCCTGCACAAAAGGCAGACCGAGGATTCCCTCTGTGCTCTACCATAGACTTTTAATAGAGAACACAGCTCATAAAGGCACCTCATAGCCAACAGCGTGGGATGAACTAAGCAAGACAGCCCTGCAGAGGGCACCATTTCCCTATCAGAGCACACATTACTGCTACATAAACCCACCCAGTACAATTGAAAGGTCTCATAACGTCTAATTTTCCTTGATCTCACTGTTCTTGCATTAGAGCTTTCAAGAGCTAAGAAGTACACAACTAGGAAGTTAAGTTGAAAAGAAACTGTATCTTTTCCAATCGTGCCATTTCTATGTCTTTCAATATATGTTACTAGGTCAGGGCATGTTTTGTAAAAAATCTCATGTGTATCGTGAAGAGTACTATCAAAGTTTCACACTGTCTACATCTATATGGAATTCTTGACTGACGATCCAGTTTGTGATACTGTTCCCTTATCAGTACACAGTTTAATACCTTTTCCTGTTTTGCTTTTCCAATGAATTATTTTACCCTCGAGGATTTTGAGAGCTTTACAGAGCTCGTGTGCTTGCAATAGCAGTCAGAAAAACAGACCTGACATTTTTCATTCATTCTCCCAGAAATAATTGGAACACTGATGCCTCTTAACATATATATGCAAAAGTATCTGTCAGTGCTCTTTGCGGGAAACAGGAGAAAAAAGGATGAGGAGATGAGTTTACATGATAATTACAGAGCTTCCTACTACTAACTAGATTAAGTTTCCAGTTTAATTAAAAGAATCCACAAAAATCAGGCTTTATGACATGGAAAAAAAGGAAATTTTTATAACTTCTACTTAATGGTCTGTTGATGTCTAATTTTAACATATAAAATTGGCCATATATAATGACTACATGAAATGCACAGCTGAGATAAATCCTCATAAATACTGAGGTCAATGGAAGTTTACTAATTTTGTTGCATTTGAGCCCTTTTTAACTATTTAACCTACAGGAAAGAAACAGTTTTCAATGAGTTAAAATCTTTTAACTCAAAGCATTTAAATCCTTGAAAAATTAACAACCTTTATTACACTATTACCATCAATACAGAAATTGTAGCACACAATTAGATCTTCCAAAAATGGACAATTTGATGTTAAAATGCAGATTAAGAAGACTAATTTCAAAATTCTCATTAAATATTCAGTCTCTAAAATAGTTTGTGACTGTCTGTTCATTAGGGAAATTTTATTTACAGATTTTGAATTTAGGAAAATAGATTTGAAAACAATATTGAAGATTTTCTAATAGGAAATGAAAATTAATTAAAAGAAACATTTTTGAGAGGCATTAGATTCAGTAACCTTCCTGTGGAGCTCAGCTTGCCAAACACATTTCTAAATTTTGTTTCTTCCCAGTTTCCTTTTCTGGGTGTTCCTGAGTCCATGAAGAATTAGGATTTAGAAGTCACAAGAGATTTCAAGTTGGATCCCAAAGGTCTGAAGTTCTCTAAAAGACCTGGAATTGCTTTGGAAGTGACTTAAAAAATCTCAACTTGAAAAGTTCAGAGGCTATTGCATTGCAAAATGAAACTTCAGAATTCCCCCACTCAGTAATAGGGGAAAAATGCCATCAAACATCAAGGTTTTCAGTAACTTTTGGAATAACTCCCGAAATGGTAAAATCAAACATTCAGAACTCCACAGAAACCAATCCAACTCAAATGTGGTTGGGGTGAGGGCTGGAAGCTGGTTTATAAACATGTTATTTTCTTGGCACATGAGAAATGAGATCGCCTACATGACCCATGTCAGTGACCCAGTTCAGACTAAAAGAGGTTGTGAAAACTACTAGGTTTCCTAACTACTGGAATTTCAGACAGGGGGTTATGTCAGTCGTTTTGCTTGCTATATTATGCAAAACCAATGCTGTAAGCTATCAAAACAGAAATAGTCTGCAACTACAGTTGCAAAACTACACGATGGTTTAGTCCAGTTTACCTTAGGAACTTTCTGGTCTTAACTCCTAGCCTATTTCCCATCAAACTCACAAAACTAAATCTTTGTTTTGTTTACCTCCTAAGGCTTTTCCCCTGCAGTGACAGTGACACTGTTAACACTGGCAGATGTACTGACATCTGCTGCAAACATATAATGAATGTGTGTCATATTTTTTGGCCATCAGACATTTATTTTCATAGGAATACTAGCAAGTTGCCATACTTTGACTAAATTCTGTAGCCTGAGAAACCCCCAAGAGCCAAAGCCTCCAACTTTGAACAATAACCAAGTGACTCTGTAGAAAGAAGTCTCAAAGGAATTTGTGGGAACTGAGTCATATTTGTGTCTGGGAACAGTGAAAGAATTCTTCCCCATTATTTTACACCTGGGAACACTTAACTCACACAGTTGATATAAAATTAGTTTTCCTTCTCAGATGAGAGCAGCAGATGAGAAGGCAAGCTTGAGTGTTTGTCCAGTAGATCTGCATGGTTACAAATCTGCCTGTATTCATTTTACATGGGAAATATACCTTGAGAAAACTAATTCTTAGTATAAGGCCTCCTCCTCTGCTCTCAAACACTGGAACAAATTGTTCCTACTACTTTTTAGGTCCTGTGTGAAGACCACAGGATATGACATTTGGGGAAGACGTCTGTCAGGAAGGTCAGTGAACGTTCTTCAATAGAAACATGGGAAGTTAAAACTGGAAGGAATTGTAATGGAGTTTCTCATTCAAGTTTTGGCATATTTCTATGGAATAAATACCTTGAGACCTTTTCTGACAGATGTCAAAATTGTTCTTAAAAAACACCAGTAAGGTAAAATTCCCAGCAACCTGATGCAGCCAAGTTCCGGGTTTTCACTAGCCTTCTTGCAAGACAGGCCTTTCTTGTAATATATAGCCTAAATATTCTTTATTACATATTTATTTCATGTTTCCTTCAGTGCATAGACAGAATAATTTAAAATCTTCCAATCTTTCTTTCAGAGGCTTTTGTCTCCTCTTAATTATCTCTGCACTAAATAAATGCCCTTCTTCCAATCTTTTTATTGGCTTTGCTTTCTAACCTTCTTACAACTCTCCTTTGGATCTTTTCTTAGTTGTCTGGATTACTGTTAAAGTGTGATGTCCAGAGCTGAACATAATATTCTACCTGAACCATTACTGGTGCCAAATAGAGTGGAATAATTATTCCACTCTATTTTTTTCTTAATATATCACAGAATTATTTACCTTTTTTTATGAAAACATTCCATTATTTTTGTAATGCTCTACAGCTTCCACTTACTCTCCAGAAAAAATAACCTTGTTACATATGTGCTTCAACAGTTATTTTCTGCCTTGTATTTATGAATGCATTGATTCTCCTTTGTACATATAGCATGTTGCATTTGTCATTTTAAAAAGAAAATTAGCTTAATCTTCCAGATTGGATCAGGCCCTGTTGGATGCTTATTACTCATCCAATTTATGGATCTCATTCAAATAAACTTAGAAAATCCATAGAATTATTGGACTACCCTAGAGCAAGAAAATTGCGTTTGTTTTGCTAGAAATACATTAAGCAATGGCTACAGCTGATTCCCACTGTCACACAAAAGTGATTACTTCACATACTGAAAACAAAATAAGCAAAGCAAAACTTCCTCTCCTCTCCTTCTCCCCTGGTCATTGAATTCTTAATGTTATAACTTCGTTACATCAACTACGTAGGTTTTCATAACAGGAGGCACCAAGTGTCCTCTTCTCTGTCTTAACAATCTTTCCACTCCATAGTTTCTGGTAAACGCAAAATAATGCTGATGAAATGGCTCACAATGAGCACAAGTTTAGTGCAGACATTTTATGTCTCTACCTTCTTCCTCCATTCCTTCAGTCTCCCTACTTTTGGCAACTGTCAGTAACAGGATGCTGGCCAAGACTGTTCCTACACAGCAAAGCCATTCTCACTTTTATTGTCATTCACATGGCAACTTTTGCAACTCAAGATGTGGCTGTATTATTGCATAGTTGCTTTTCAGAACAGAAGTATATAAATTAAATTAGGAAAATAAAACTTAGGAATATTTTTGACTTTTTACGTAAACTACTTTCTGGGTTTTTTGTTTAGGTTATGGGTTCTCAATCTTATATGAGTTTCTGTGGTTATTCTTAATTATAAACATAGGCTGTCATCTTTCCAGACTTTCTTGTAAATGTCTCTCTTTGATAAGTGATATCAATACTAAGCACCTTGTCACTAACGCATAGCTGTTTCTTCTCTCTCCATCTTTGTCAGTTTGACAGCTTCCCACCCACACACTGTTCAGTGCCCTTCCTACCCATGTGTTTCCTACCCTTTCTGTAAGCAATTACATTTATTCTTGATAAACTTTCACATATCAATAAAAAGCACATTCAACTTGTGAGTCATTTTCTTCAGGCTTTGGAATATCAACTGAAGTGCTCCCAACCACACAAGGTATTATTACTGAACAATATATGTAAACTAATTATTTTTATCGCTTTTATTTTTGTTATCACCCTTATTTATTGGTGGAAAAATGACAGATTTTACCAGATCAGAACAAATTAATAATCCTTTTTATCCCGCTGAACTTGACTTGCAACCTTAATTATTACTGTAAATTAAATACTAATAAACCAAAAAACCCTCTCAGATTCACAAAGCACTTGTACCAAATGTGATCCAAAAGTATGACATTATGAATAATGGATGCACACAACTCATTTTAGCCTTTAATACTTGAAATTCATTGAATTCTAGGGTAAAATATGTCAATGTTTTATAACTACCTAACTCAGAAAATAAATGCTATCAGTGAAATTGCAGCCTACAAAATTTTGACAGTTAAATTCACTGATTTCTTTCTTAAGAAACCACAAATATAATGTTAATTACCAACAGTCTAACAATGTTTTAGAAACAGAGTACTTTAAAATTTCCTTTTGTAAACACTGCAACTGAGTCTTCAGTAGTCACAATAACAGGGTCCTAGTTTAATTTCGTAGCATCACATTTGTTTGTTTTTTACTGTGGAATACAATCCCAAAAGTTCAGACTTGTTCCTCATACTACATCAGTTACTGATTGTATAATCTTAAATGACTGGTTGTAAAATAATCAGTGATAAAATAATAACCAATAAAAGACAATTCAATTTCCATGAGATTATTTTCTTATTGCCTTTTATAAACAAAGTAAGCCAATAGAGGAAAGATAATAATCCAGCAGATTTCTTGTTCTGTTGAAGTGTGTTATTTTAACAAGCAAGACAATTTGACCTTTATAAACTGCAAGGTTAGGCTAAGGATTTTTATAAAACTGAGAGTTGCAGGGTAGAACAAAGATAAAGGTGACTTTGCCCTCAAACAAGAAGGGCATTCACGTACCTCAAGGTTAAAGAGAAATAAATTTATTCTGTATGAAACAGTCTTGACTACACAATCATGCTAAGCATATGCTTAATGCGGAACAGAGCATATCTTAAATTGTAGTGACTAATTGTGACATGGTCCTAAAGCACGAGCTTCATTTGTCGTACAGCCGTGATTGTGCAGAATTAATATTTTTGTCTCAAAGAACAGTGCCACAAAATACTTATAGAAGGAAATAATCTGGAGGGAAACTGGACAAGACATAGGCAGATTTAGTAGAGTGTCATCATAAAAAAAAAAAAAAAAAAGCTCCCCTTAGCTGCATTCCCAGTTAGGCTGCAAAATCAGGCCTGTAGTATCCACTGCATGGTTCTCTGCAGCTTAAGAAAGATAACACGATTTTAACTCATTTTCTCAAAGGAAAGAAGAATATTTTAGTAAAGCCCAAAAAGTGTATTTTTCCCTCATCTGCTTTCTCAAAATTGTTTGGGAGGAAATTAAAATAGCTTTCATAATGATATCCAGTATAGAAGTTTGATCCATGTTGCTTAATTTCAATGAAGTGAAAGTAAACAATTGATTTTACAATGGTAAGAAGTTGAGAACCTCCCCATTTCCAACAGTCACACTATTGACATTATTTTTCTTAATAAAAATCTCTTTCTAACTGGTGAGTTTTTATTTATCCAGCGATCTCAAATTGCTTGGGCCTACACAAAGAGCTTCTTCAAGGCCCAGAAGAACAACTAGGTCTGTAATTGCACCAACTTCAGACCAAACTTTGCAAATTGTCACTCAAGAGAGCTGTGTGCAGGACAGAGTAACATCAGTCTACAGTGTTATTCATCATGTATCTGCTCCATTCACATGGGGAGATAAAACTTGCATTTACCAGCTGTATGTCCTTTTCCCTAAACACTGAACTTTTACATGTGTCCTAAAGTAGAGCTTTAAGGGAATAATCTTGATATCTAACACAATTTTGGATTAGGATTAGCAGTTCTAAAAAGCATGGGAAACAGAAGCCTTTATAGCAGAATGCAAAATTCTGAGCACCTCCCTGTTAGTTAGAAACCAGTGCATTTTTATCTTAGTTCCACTTTCAAAAGTTTCCCATAAAGATTTTCAAGTACAGCATTATATCTAAGGTGCATTTTAACATGTGAGTTTTGTTATTAGAGATGATTTTATGTGTAATTTTTGTAACCTCTTACCCAGAACATCCTCCTCTTCGCCGTAATCCAAATCAGTAGTTGCATGCCCAGTGACACAGACAAACAGCAAGATAAAGGTTAAAGGTGAGCAACATCCCTTCTTTCTTCCTTTCATCTTTCCTGTATAACATATAAATGACAAGATACACTTCAATTAAATTTCTTGAGTGCTCTGCAAAAGTCAGTAGCAGGGTAGTACATAGCTATATGGGTAGATATACAACTGGGAGCTTTGGAAATAATGTGAGTTATGTTAGTATAATTATATTGTAAGCACAATGAAAAACAAGACAAGATTTACAGTTGTGCTCAGCTGCCTGCAAATCTCCTACCCTATCTCCAGTACAGATTAGAGGCATTGCTATTATTTTTATTTTAAGTTCCAATTGAATTAACGTCCCACAATATATAATGATATTAAAAGTACAGCGTGTTACATTTTACGTCCTGATCAGTTTTACACTATGTATAGTTAGCTGGCATGACAAATCTTTCCAAATAAGTTTTACATTGTTTTAGTTTTTTACTTTACCCTGGATTCATTGCCACAAACACAGGATTTTATTTTTAACAAATATTTGATCGATGTGTAGTTACCAAGCTCCTGGACTTTTGTGTAGGCTGCAATTCGCAGCAGTCAGTGAACTTTGTGCACCACGGGCTTCAATGCTTTAAGAAATATTTTGTATCTTGTAGATCCCTTTAATATCAAATACCTCACTTCAGTGCAGAGCTATTATTTTTCACATAGGATCAGTGCAATCATATTCATTCACACACAGAAAATACCATGGCAGCTGGCACATTCACGTTGCCAAAGATGAGGTTATGCAGGCACGTATCAGAGGACCTCTGGAAAACTTCTGCTTAAACTTTTTTAGAAATATATATTTTCCAACTAACTACAAGCTTCTTAAGGATGTTTGAATTCTAATTGGAGAACAGGCTAGATATCTCATTTATCTACCAACAGATTCCCTATAGATATCCTCTTTTCTTAAAGTATGATACTAAACTTTGGCTAATTAATATTAACTTAATAGAAAATAAAGAGCTAATGACTAGGTAGTTCCTAGCCTTCAGACCCTGTTTTGTTTTTAGCACTGTTGTTTACATGCCTGTGCAGATAGCACATCTGCATCAGCTAAACAGTGAGGGCAGGTGGGTCTGTGGGAGGAGATGAGATGACCTGTCACTGTGCTTGGGATACAGCTTTACAGCAGGAAGGCTAAAGAGATGATGTGGCTGAAGCAGCAGGTGACATCAATAGAAGTCATCTTTAACAGATCAAATCTTTAACAGATCAAATTTTCCTCCAAGTGATATATCATTGTCTATGAAGTTATAAATGAATCTTAGCTATAGTATCTAGGAAAACACTAACAAGCAATGATGTCTCAGAAAGGTGAAATCTGCACAAAGAGAGATTAAGCAATTTGCCACAAACGCTGTGCCAGAGCCAGAAGTTGCAGTTATATCTTCCACACCAAATCAGAGCCAGAATCTTCCATTCTCCCTTGACAATTTATGAATTTTTCTTTCCTGCATACTGTTTTCCTAACTTGCAGCATGAGTAGTAAAAAAGAAGTGTTCTTAAAAGTAAGTTGGTGAAATTACAGACCAGATCATGAATAGCACTAATTACTTGGACAATTTTTAAAATTGAAAATTCCCTTTAGAAGGGTTCACTCCATATTGTAGTGATAAACACTGAGAAATGTCTTCATTCCTTATTTTTTTTTGTAAATGAACGGAATTTTGAGATCAAAGGAATTTCTATTTTACCTGGAAAAGATGATGATGTAAACTTTTTATCATAATGCTTTCCTACCAAAATAAACAAAAGGATGCTAGATTTTTAAGCTTAATTTCTCCATTGACATATAAAATCCTTTACCCAGATAAAGTTCGGCAAAATAATTCAGATCTCATTTTGTGCTGCTAATCATGGGTTTCCTCAAATATTATTTCCTACTTCTATGAACAAACTCAGAAATTTTTACTTTCTGCTAGGAATGTAATAACTACTCTTGGAATAGAAGCCAACTTTTTAGAAATTCTGAAACAGTATGAAAACTGGGAAAACATTTAAGAGCTAGAATCACTCATTTTCAGGTATTTTTCACAGAAACAGAAGTAGGGTCCTTATTCATGTTTCTAACTAGAACTCCAGTTGTGCCTTCCTATTCTTTTTTACATATTAAAACTTAATCTAAATAAACAAAGGTATTATTTTTCCCCTTTCCCAGCAACAAATTTCTAGTGATCTGTTTGCTCCATTCAGAGTGAATAATCCATAATGAAACCATAATGGAAATATTTTTTCCCCAACGTCTTTACTGGAGAAACTACTTAAAGGCTGCTCGACTGATTGCAGGATAACCCTCCAATATAGTAAAAACACAGGGAAAAATCCCATGGCACTGTGTTATAAGTCATCAGTTCACTCTAACATGCCAGAAATTTAGACTTATTTACATTCATTAAAGCTACTGTCTACATTTATTTGTGTACCCCATCTGCTCTTTTTTGCCTTAATTTTTTTGTCCATTTGGAAGTTTCTTGTTTATATGTGATAATTATGTGCTAGTTAATTATTTCCATTCTCTAATGCCATATTCCTCCCAGATGTTGTCCCAATGTTGTCTCATCACTGACTTTTAAAAATATTTCACCATTAAAGGGAAGGAAGAGTCTTTATCGAAATGCTCATTGCTATCCTCTGAATGCTTCTGAGTTACAGCACTTGACATAAGCAGTAGCCTGCTCTCTCTCTGGGATATTCTCAGCATTTCTTGTCATTATTCAGGTAATTTTCAGTTTTCCAATCAATCAAAAAACAGATATTGCCTCTCCAGTTTTTTCTGAGAACAGTACATACTATAACTTAAATTGAAAGCAAACTGTTCCAGACCCAGGGCAATGGCCAACCTTGATACTACTGTCACAACTTCAGGAAGTTTGCCCTGAATTTAATCACCTTCTGTGAAAGCTGAATGCCAAAAGATCCACAGAAATAGATCTCTTTATAGAGAACCTGGCAAAAATAGTGTCCTAGACTTCAGACGATAGAAATAAATCACGTGTGTAATAAGCAAAACTTTTAACATATCAAAATAATACCATGTAAGATTATAACATAAATCCAAAATAAACTAAGAACACATCTTAAAAAGGAGTTCTATTGACTATATTTCTGCACAAAGTGAATAGAGGCAACAATGTTTCTTTTCAGCTTTCATAGTCCATTCTATCATTTCCAGAAACAGACTAACTCTTATAACACATTTGGCCTAATACCAGAGTTTCTTCCACGCAAAGTTTTCTGGTACGTGGCCTTGGAAGAATTTTACTTTCTTTATCCAAAGGTTAGAGAAACAGTTAGAGCAAATCTTTTCATTCACCCCTCCAGTCATGCTTTACAAGAGGAACAAAATACTCTGTACAAGAGTTGTGCAGGATTGTCATTATGATTTGAGACGTTTGAGTCTCAATGATGCTAGGTTGACATTAACTAAAATTCAAATCAATCCACAACTAAGAAATAATAAGTAAAAAAATTCAAACAACTGCACAAGACGAAGTACTTAGCATTATAATGTAAATAAATGTGGTGATAGTGTGACATTGTCTAAGCTGAATAAAACCAGAAATATCATCAAATACTCAGTTTTGATACTTAGATAGATAGTAATAACTTTCATACTTTGCTTGGCTCCTGTGAGTTCATAGAATTGAAAAATTACAAAATACACTTTCCATTTTAGTCTTTGAAAATACACAGGAAAGAGTAATTTTCTGAGAACATTGTTTTCCTTAGAAGTTTTAATTTGTAATCATTAGCACAGTTGTGACCATTCAGAGAGGAACTTGCAAATTATCTATTTTGCCCATGGATTAATTCCAAGTGTGCCCCTTAGCTTTCATATTCTACATTTGAGTTTTTCCAAACATGAAAGAAAAAAACTCTCCCTAGTTCAGGAAAACTCTATTTGAATTTGCCTTTGGGACACTCAAGCTGAGGTTTTGGTTCCTTCTTTCAGAAGCCTGTAGAGTATAGATTTAGAATACAAAATTTAGTAATCCATTTTTACTCAGTCATCCAATATTCCCCAAAGCCTGTTCCCAAGTAGAAGAAAAATATAGGAAACAATCAGCCAGAAATGGAAATCCTCAGTAAGTTTCTCTTTTTCATTTGAAAATAGAATTTTTTATATCAAGAGCTACCATATATAATTGTCACTGTGTGATTATGAGCATAAATCAGTGCATTTGTACAGAGGACAAATATCTTACCAGGGTACAGTATTTTTATTCTTTCACTCCCTACATCTCCCTGAAAAGAGAATCTTGTCATAAGTAGGGCTTACTGACACTTGGGCAATTTCCGAAGGGCAAAAACTTACACTGTGTAACTGCACATCTGCCTTACTGTCTCCTGACCAAACACAATCTCCTTTATCTTCTTGCTAACCTCCCCCCAAGGCCATGTATTCTCAGAACACTGGGTCAGGTATGGATGGAGGTGGGATGAAGCGGGTGAAGGTTTTAGTACTGAAATGCTTAAATCCATCTGTAGCATCATTATTTCTTATAATTCCTACAGGAAGACTGAAATCCAAGATCAAAGTGAACTTGGCACTGCTTTTTCAATTAAAAATCCCAAACCATTGGAAAAGTCCAAGTTTTTTTATTTAATCTTCAGCTGTCCAAGAACAACTTTAAAGCTGTAAGCCTCTTACTGATTTTATTTCCTTTTTTAATGCATTCTCTTTATTTTTTATATTGTATTTATATGGAATGCATAATTCAAAATACTTCATCTGTGACATCTGGCTCAGTAAAATATTCAAATGCACACATCTGTGAAGGACTGTCTGCCATGGAGAAAATAGGAAATGTTTTGAGTTTAAATAATTCACGTTAAATGGTGTGATTATTTGGGCCAAATTCTGAAAATCTATGTGAGTAAATACAGCCCCTTACTCCAGAAGGGTTCTAATTTAGGACAGCCAGGAGTCAGTCCAGCTTTAATACTGGCTTTTCTCTACATCAAAGTGTCATTAACGCAAATTTCATAAATTCCTAAGACATTTCCTTAGGAACTGGCTCTCTACCGC